TTAATAAAGAAAATTAGAGCACCACACGTGCCCCATGATGTAATGCATCGGAGATAGTTAAAAAAAAAAAAATTTTTAATAAAATTTTCAATTTAATTAATTATAATTAGATATATACAAGAAGTATAATGATGTTTATAAATTATATGAGGTGGATGATTAGAGAGTTTAAAATAAATGATCTTCTAGTAGATTATAGATGTAGCATTTAATATAGAACCTTAGGATAAACTATTTAAATAGGCAACCAAAAGTTGCATATATAACTAGTTGTACTCTCTTTTCTGTAAAAAATAAGGTAAACTAACTTCAATGAAGTTAATAAAGATTCACTGTAAAGTATGATCTTTAACAAAAAAAAATTTAATTATAATAACTTTCAAAAACTAAAATAATATAATGCACTTCATAATTATAACATTAATCACTTTATATAATTTGAATAAAGTACAAATTTATACATATGATAATTGAAAAGTATGTCATTTTACCTATATTTTGAGTCATCTTATCTCTTTACTATTATTTCAAAAAAATTGATTATGTAAAATTGATTATAAAGAATCCTTGATCAACTTCAATGTTATATTATAAAAGGTACCTGTATATGATGATTGTGAAGAATTTTTATAAGCGTCACGTGCAGAATCCTTTTTTAGTATTAAATTTGAACACCAAAATCCTATTACAAAAAACCCATTTTTAGAATACTGTTGAAAAATTTCGTGAAATATGAATTATTTAATAACCAACTTGCGATATGCCTTTATTTAGAGTAATTGGACAAAAATAGGTCAAAAAACATTTTAGCGTTCAAATTTGCATGCTAGACGGTTTAAGGGATAAGTTTGGATTTCTTAAATGGGTGAGTACACAGCAAAACCATGCTTAGAGTATATATAATACATATACTCTAAGCGTGGTTTTACTGTGTACTCACCCAAATAGTCTTAAGCTAAATTAACTAAACTGAGCTAAACTGGACTGTTAACATCCTTAGCTTTCAATATGCACTTAACAATAAATTATTTCAAAAATTTTCCTAAAATCGGATAGTCTTGAGTGCAAAAACTTAAATAGTTCATTTAAACCAATTTTCATATACCATCTGGCAAGGTTGCGATAAATACAAAGCCAAATCTTATTTTTTTTGATATTATCCAAATGGAACCGTAATCTTTTTACTTCCACTTGAGGGATCTCCATTATCAAAATATTTCATAACGATAACTTGCATATGATCATGTGAACTTTTTGCACGACTTCATATAAAACATCGGATAACATTAATATTGGGCATACGATACATGCGATAACAATTTTTTTTTCATCATCTGCTACTTATTTCGCATTCATGTAATTCTTAAATTTAGGCATAAACTCGCCTCCCAAATTAACACGAATAAAATTAAATAAAACAAAATAGTAAATATTCATAAACTTAAACCAAGTGTCGAGAAAATAAAAAGGTTTGGTGAAATGAAAATGTCAAGGAATCGATTTTCGGAGAAATGGATGTTTTCGGGGAAAGATGGTCGAAGAAATAAATTTCGAGGAAATGATATAGACCCTTCAGCAAATCATTAGACATTTTGAACATTTAATAAATGTTCAATGAATTTATTCGGATATTCATTCAACTAATCTCAAGTCCGGGCATTGCTCTGGGTGTTAATTTATATATGAGCGTTAACAATATTAATTTTTAATTAAATTTGTATTGGTTTTTATTTTTAAAATACGTACCTATTTTATTATTCTTCTAAAGAAAAAATATTTTAAAAAATTATTTTTATTATATATATACAAATAACACGTTTCTTAATTATTTAGTAACAAAATAGTCAAAAGTTAGAATATTATAAATTGATATCCTGTTTATACCCCGTATAAACGGTGTATCAATTTTTAATAACTGACTCCTAATTTATGCTTGACGTTACGCACATTCGCTGCGTGATTTTTTTTGACCGATATCCGAATGTTAATAATGATAAATGAATATCCAGATTTTTTATTTTTTGACCGGATCAGACATTTAACTAATCCCTATTCAGCTACTATGGTGCACTATCTCAATCTTTTACGTATTACGTTTCTTTTTGCAATAGGGTATTACGGTAATATATACCTAACTTTAATACTTTAAAGTCGCTCTCTCACAAATGAACCAAACAATCAATGTTTTTTCTTTTTTTGGGTTTGTATCACCTGCAGAAATAAGTAATCTAACAAAATTTTAGGGTATATCGATATTACTTACCGATTTCGTTTCCATAAAAATATAGTTAACTAGCTGATCACACCATTCAATAACAATAAAAAATACCTTAAATTCATTTATTTTAAGTACGTTTACGTTATGATCAACATTCACGCAGAGTAACTGGATTGGGGGCATGTGAATATTATCACCTGTTTCCAATTAAATGAAGATAATCTATTTTTGTGTGATAAAAACATTTTTGGATTTGTAATCGAAATTTATTATAAATCAACCATTAAATTTTTTTTCTTTTTTACCTTTGCCCAAAAAATAAGGCATCAATTATGACCCATATAGAAACGGCTGTGGCATCAATTGCTTATTCTACAAGCAATGTTGTTTACGTTATCGAATCTAATAATCCAAAATCATCCAATTTCTTAACTTCAAAAAGTGCTGTTACTATAGAATTATCGAAATTTCAACAACGAGAGAAAAAAAATGTCTTTAATGAAATAACTGAATTAGAACCTCTCTCTTCAAATGCAGATCCATTTTCACATTTACATTCTCCTGTATCAAAAGGTTCTCTTGTATCTGTATTTATTCCTTCTGGTTTATCAAATGATATTTTAATCCCTGCAATACCACACCTTTATAAACTCTCAAATGGCCGATGTGCTGCATTGGTAATTCATGTCGCTATCGATCGTGATAAAGTTAAAAATATTGAAGATTATACTGATGTCATGACTTTAAGGCAAACTGGATGTGCTTTATTACATTCAACTGGTATTCAGGAAACTTTAGATATCGCTTTGGTTGCTCATTCTATAGCAATTAAAACTGCCGTTCCTGTTATTCATTTCTTTGATCGAGATTGTGCACAATCGACTAAGAAATTAATTCATTTAGGTAATTTTATTGGAAAGTTTATAAATGAGGTGGATATAACAAATTATCATGTTCTTTTGAAAGCAACCAAAAAACAAGATGAACTCTATTTTAGATCATCTGATTCCTCTATACCTAATGATAAAACCACTGATGAATCAACTAATGGTAGCAATGACGATAAATTAGTACATAATCATATCGACTTTTTTTCGACCGTAGAAACCATTTTCACTCAATTCAAACAAGAAACTGGTCGATCTTATGGAAGCCTTGAATATATTGGTGATCCTAATTCAAAATTACTCATAATCACTCTTGGTTCTGGTTCATCCTATTTACAAAAAGTCACTAATAAAAATTCCAAAATCGGTGTAATACGGATAAGGATATACCGTCCTTGGTCAGAGAATCATTTTCTTGCTAATCTTCCAAAAACGATTCAAAGGGTAGCTGTATTAGAACAAGTTGTTGCACGTACAACTAAATGGACTCCATTATATCTTGACGTTATTTCAGCGTTTCAAAATCATGCCCTTTGGTCAGGTGAATCGCCGGCCGTTATTAGTGGAAAGTATGGAATTTTTGATAAAGAATCTATTGATACTAATATTACATCTTTGCTTGAAAGCTTCGAGTCAGATGACTTACGTCAAAACTTTATTGTCGGAAATGATGACTCAATATCTCAGCAATTAAATGGTGTAAATGGTCATTCGGCTCATATCATTGAAGCACCGAATATTGAAAAACCATATCTCAAAATGCTTGAAGAAGCCTTTAAAGATCGTTTATATATAGCAAATTCTGGTCATACTGATGTTGTTAAATCAACGCCTGAATATGCATTCGGAGTTTTAATCGCTAAACTTCACAAGCGTGCACAATTTGCTGATCTGGTTGCGCGTGCGATAAAGGATACTTCTATTTCTATTAAAGAACCTTTGCTAAAAGCCTTATCACAATGGCTTCTTTATCAGAATGATACCGAAAAATCAAAGAAATTTGGTGATGAAGCCATTGAGTATCTCAAGAATTTTCGTGATAGTCATACGATACTCTCAGAAATTCATAATCAAAAAGATGAATTCACAAAACCTGCACAATGGATTATTGGTTCAGATGCATGGACATATGATATTGGTGGATCCGGTGTTCATCACATAATTTCATCCGGTAAAGATATTAATCTCCTGATAATTGATTCTCAACCTTATACAACCCGTGCTGCTGTTGATCCAGAAAAACGTAAAAAGGATATCGGTTTATATGCAATGCATTATGGTGATGTTTATGTTGCTTCCGTGGCAATATATTCATCATATACTCAGGTCCTACATTCATTAATGGAAGCTGAAAAGTTTAAAGGTCCTTCAATTGTATTGGCGTATTTGCCTTATCATAATGAGAATGATAGTTCAATCACGGTATTAAAAGAAACAAAATTAGCCGTTGACAGTGGTTATTGGTCATTATATAGATGGAACCCTGCATTAGAAAAAGAAGGCAAGGAACCTTTTACCCTTGATTCGGAGAAAATTAAACAGGAACTTAAAGAATTCCTTGATAAAGAAAACCTTCTCACTCAGTTAACGCGTTCTACACCAGAATTATCTAAAAATTTAACAAATTCTCTTGAATCAGAGATCAAATCACTTCAGAAATCATTTGCAAAATCTGCATATGAAAAGTTATTAGGTGGTTTATCTGGTCCACCACTTTTGATTCTTTTTGGTTCTGACAATGGTAATGCGGAAGGTCTCGCAAAAAGATTACATAGTGGCGCTAAGGCCCGTGGTGTTAATTCACGTTGTATGCCAATGGATGATTATTCCATTGAAGAAATTACTTCTGAAAAAAATGTAGTATTTGTTGTTTGTACGGCTGGTCAAGGAGAATTTCCTCAAAATGCCCGTGAATTTTGGAAAACAATTTCAACTACAACGGATATTTCTTTTTCAGAAACTCAATATGCTGTTTTTGGTCTTGGTGATAGTAAATATTGGCCAAGAGAAGAAGATATAATTTATTATAATAAACCTGGAAGAGATTTAGATAATCGATTGGAAATTTTAGGTGGAAAAAAACTTTTGGATCTTGGATTAGGTGACGATCAAGATGCTGACGGTTATGAAACAGCATTCCAGTCATGGGAACCAGAACTTTGGAAGGCTTTAGGAGTTGAACTTCTTGGTACTGTCGTTCAAGAGAAAAAGAAAACTGATGATGATATGAAAGTTGAATCAAATTTTTTAAGGGGTACAATTAGTGAAGGCTTGGAAGATACCTCCACTGGGGCATTATGTGAAAGAGATACAAAATTAACAAAATTCCATGGAATTTATCAACAAGATGATAGAGATCTGCGGGAAGAACGAAAAGCACAAGGATTGGAAAAAGCTTATTCATTTATGGTACGTGTCCGTGTTCCAGGTGGAATTTCTACGCCCAAGCAATGGTTACAAATGGATGAAGTTGCCGATACACTTGCGAACGGTGGATTAAAATTAACAACTCGACAAGCATTTCAATTGCACGGTGTTATTAAACGCAACTTGAAATCTACTATTCGTGGTATTAACAAATGCTTGTTGGACACATTAGCTGCATGTGGTGATGTTAATCGTAATGTCATGTGCAGTTCTAATCCTTCCCTTTCTGAAGTTCATGAACAAGTACAGGAATTCTCAAAGAAATTAAGCGCTCATTTGTCTCCTAGAACAACAGCATATCATGAAATTTGGTTGGAGGATAAAGTTGTTTCTGGAAAAGCTGTACAAGATTTTGAACCATTATATGGTCCAACATATCTTCCACGTAAATTTAAGGTTGCAATCGCAGTACCCCCTAATAACGACGTGGACGTGTTTGCACACGACTTGGGGTATATAGCAATTGTAGACAAAACTAATGGAAAATTGTTAGGTTACAACGTTAGTGTTGGTGGTGGTATGGGAATGACTCATAATAACAAGAAAACTTATCCACGCCTTGGAGAACTTCTTGGTTTCTGTACTCCTGAACAGGCCATTGATGTCGGTGAAAAAGTTATGTTAGTTCAAAGAGATTTTGGGGATCGAATCAATAGAAAACATGCACGCCTCAAATATACTATTGATGATAGAGGCTTGGATTGGTTCCGTTCCGAAGTCGAAACCAGGCTAGGATATAAGCTTGAACCACCACGTGAATATACCTTTGAAAGCAACGCAGATCGATATGGTTGGACAAAAGGTTTTGATAATATGTGGCATTTTTGTCTTTATATTGAAAATGGTGTCGTTAAAGATTTACCTGGGTCTCCCATTAAAACTGGTTTACGTGAAATTGCCAAAGTACATAAAGGTGATTTTCGATTAACAGCTAATCAGCATCTTGTTCTTGGCAACATCACCAAAGAGAACAAAGCACAAATTGAAGAACTGTTGAAAAAATATAAGTTAGATAACCTGCAGCATACTGGACTTCGATTAAACTCCATGTCATGTGTAGCATTGCCAACATGTGGTTTAGCAATGGCAGAATCTGAAAGATATCTTCCCTTGCTTGTGGATAAATTAGAATCCATTATTAATGAAGTTGGTTTAAACCAAAATGCGATCACGGTTAGAATGACAGGGTGTCCTAATGGCTGTGCACGTCCTTACGTAGCAGAGATTGCCTTTGTAGGAAAAGCATTAGGAACATATAATTTATATTTAGGAGGAGGTTTTCATGGCCAGAGATTGAATAAGTTATATAAAGAAAATTTGAAAGAGGATGATATCTTGAGAGAGTTAAGACCGATTTTAGAACGGTATGCAAAAGAAAAAATAAATGGCGAAAAATTTGGTGATTTCGTTATTAGAACTGGCTATGTTAAAGCTACAATTGCCGGAAAAGATTTTCACGATTTGTAAAAAATAATTTATGTTCATACACATATGTATAATCAAATCTTAACTAAGTTGTTTTATTAATTATATTATGCAAATTAAATTTCAATTACTTTATTAAAATATATTTATAATGCGATCAATAATAATTGATTAACGTCTTTTAAATTTAAAAGTTTTCTTTTAAAGATGAAAAAAAAAGAAATGTTGCCAAGGTTATTCATATATTACTGATTATAATAGCAAAATAAATGATAAGAGAAATTCACCTTTTCCATAGAAAAACCTTGTACCGTCTTCAAAGCCTTCACTCCATAAATTACATTTTTCATGTAATTGTTTTCCAATAGGTTTTGGTCCACAAAAGAAAACGCCTATATCAGTGGCTGGATGCTGATCTCTCATCTCTGTAAAGATTTTATCCCACACAGGACGTCCATAATGTGTTGGTGTTCTAAGACCTGTAACAGCATCATTTGTTTCACCAACATTCATATAAATATTTCTCACTTCGGAGTCACGTAGATGGCCAGTTAAATAAGTACGAATTTCAATCAATTGTCCAATATCTTGCTCCTCAATAGCTAATAATAACGAGTGAAACCATTCAAGGGACTTAATAAAGAAAAAGATTTAATAATTAATATCATCGGCAAAAAAGTATTTGGACAAGATGAATTTATTAAATATATATCCTCACGCTATAGTCGCGGCAAACCCAGATAAAATACGCTTTCCGAAGCATGGTAGATTTTTTCGGATAGTTGACTCTATACCTATTATATTTTTACAAAATATCAAAGAATTATAAAATAAACTAGTAATGCCGAATTGTATACTGTCTAATTTGAATATACTCTCTAAATGCAATAAAACCTTTTGATATATTTTTTTTTTTAATCATAAATGGTTCTTATGATTCAAATGCATATACTGTCTATATGCATAAAAAATCTTCAACGGATTAGACAGTATCGACTGTAATACGTTCATGTAAAGCTCAGATCCGTTATCCCGGTTTCTTTTTAAATTTAACAGATATCCGACGCATCTAACGGATAACGGATCCCGGCGCTACTTTCGTAAATTATCGCGACTTACCAGATACTTTTAAGAACGCTTGCAAACGGAGTGATACCGATACCAGCTCCAATAAGTATCGATATCTCAAAATTGAACACATCTTCTGATGCACTTCCAAAAGGACCGTCGATCATAACTTTGGGTATGTTTTTTTGAAGTTCAGGATTGATTGAAGAAATATCAATTCCGCTTTTTGCAAATTCTTTGTTTTTTGTTAATCTTTTTTCACTTTCAGAATCACAACCAAGCCTTTTAGCGAAAGTTTTGGTGAAATCACCGACAACACGTATATGAACTGAGATATAGTCTTCTTCAGGGGCAGAAGTTAAAGTAAAAGGATGCCATTCCCAATATGATACTTCTGGACAACATAAATATATATATTGTCCAGCTTTAGTCACGATATTATCCTTTTTAATTTGAACTTCCACAACTTGTGAGGGATGCAAGATAACCTTTGAAATATAAGTTTTTTGGCGTGCACGTATTTCACGGAGAATACGTTCACCAACATAAATAACACCAGAAGCAATCCAATATTTCCAAAATACAGCAATATCGCTGCAGTATGGTGGACGGTCTGGTTTAATCATACAGAATGCGCCATGGAAAGACCAAGCACCAAAGAAAGGAATGAAAAGATGATGAAGGTACCAAAAACGATTAAAATGACGTCGCCTGTTACCTTCCGTCGCAGTGACTACCATAACTAACAAACAGATTAACATCACATAACCTGTAGCACCAGGTCCTGAAGCAAAATTAAGTTGGAACCACATCCCTATACCACCACCACTTGCCTTGGATAATTGATAGAAATTAATCCAATGAGAAACTACATGAAGCAATGAGAAAAATACGATTGACCATCCAATAGCTTTATGAAACTCAATATGATTGTCAAAGGGAATAATCCAATTTAAAGGTGTGGCACGAATCATAGTAATTAAGTTTCGGCAAACAGGAAACAAGATCATAGCAGCATCAATATGCAGAACCAATGCTGATGAACGCGCAATTACGAATGTTATTCCATAAGTTGTTCGTGCATTTTCCAAATTGTCATTAAGTTGATAATTGAGAAAGGACATGAAAAATATTAGGATATGCAGAAATATCCATACTCCAAAAAAAAGTTTTTTAGCTCCTACGATATTATAGCAAAATAGAAGATATTTATTAACATATATGCATGTTAATATGATATTGGAAGTCTATACTCGAAAATCACATGTCTACAAAAAACATAGCAGTATTTCTAACTTTGTTACAGTTGCTTTTTTTAGAGGTCGTTTAATATAAAAATCACGTGCAACATAAGCTACATTCTTGATAGATATAGGCCACTACCCTTAACTACATCAAAAAAGTAACTATAACTGCACACAGCTTTAAACGTTCTCTTTTTTTAGGATAGTACGTATGTAGTGTTTAAATTCATCGACTAAGTCGATATTCAAAAGTCAGCCAACTCGACTATAACAAAACAAGTAATATTTAATGGGGTACCAATAAACATCCCTACTGCTCCTTATTGCTGCCAGACTTTGACACCAATAGGTATCAATAGACATCAATCAGAATAATAATAATTCTGATCGATGCCTATTGACCTGTTTTGGTGCCAAAATCTGGCAGCAATAGGATGTCTATTGGTATTAATTAATCAACTAAGCCGGCTAAGCAGATAATTAATAGATAATAATGGGCACTAATATCACGTGATAATTGATTGTTAGGATAAGTGTAAGTGTCGGATTATACGTACGTAGCAGTAAAGATTATAAGCCCTGTATCCTTCCATTTATATGTTAACATATTTTTAAATTTTGCAGTTAAAGGCAAAAGCAATAGATCAAGGTTCTTTATAGTAAATCCCATATTCAGTTTACAGAATTTTATGATAGTTAAAATTAAAATAATCGTTATATGTAAAATTTTACGCCAAACGAGTTCACTAAGAAAGCGAAAATAGGTCGTCTTGGCGAAAAAAAAAAGAAAAAAAGTTTGTACAGATCAATGTTTAAAATTTTTATCTGGGAAACCTTTTTTTACTAAGATAATCAGTCTTCGTCTCATGAAACTAACTGCATAAAATTTCGATTCCTAGCTTCCATTTAAACTTTTTTTAAAAAAATTTAATTTGTTAAGTGGATGCTAGAACCTATGTAGCGTACTAAATAAATTTGTTTAAACAAAGTGAAGACAAAATTATCTTAGTAAAAAAAAGGTTCTACCTAGCTAGCAAAAATTTGGACATTTGATCTATACAAGAATGTTTTTTTACAATCTTAAGATGATCGTTCGTTTACATATAATAATAGTTTCAAATTGCTGTTTCTATAAAATTCTGTAAGTAAAATATGCAGTTTTATAAAATTTAAAGGTATCATTCTAAAGAACCTCAAGATATTGTTTTTACCTAATTTGAAAATATGTTAATATGTAAGTGGTGGGGCTTAAAGTTTTAGTAATTTTATATGTCTTATTAGTAATCCAACACTACGTGACATATTCCCTGACTGTTGCTAGAAAATTGAAATTAATTACCATCATTAATCAACCACGATTGGAATTGTTCGAAAGCTGTGACCGATCGATTTGTTGAATTATGACCATTTGTGGGTCTATCCCGATTAGGCTGTTGCAATTCGTTGAAAGAATCACTTGCAAGTTTGTTTTGATAATTGGCTGCCCCAAGTTTCCTTAGAGATGCATTCTTGTTAAGTGCAATTTCTTCAGAATAAAATGCGTCTTGGGGATTAGTTGTAACTAGTTGTCCTTCAATTAAATTTGAATCATAATCATCTTCAGGACCGAAGCTGTCAAGTTGTTGCAATTTTCTGTTAGAATAACCTCTTTCGAGTTTTCTTTGAGAATTTACACGTGTGACTGCCTCAAGTTTCCTTAAAGACGCATTCCTATGAAGTGTAATTTCTTCAGTTTCTTTAGACCTTAATACTCTATTGGAATTGGTTGTAATTTGCTGCCTCTCAACTATGTTTGAATCATAATCGTTCTCGGAACTTAGTTTATCAAGCTGTCGTAATTTTCTAGCGGAATCACCTCTTGCGAGCTTTTTTTGAGAATTTATTCGTGTGAGTTCTTCTTGTTTCTTTGCAGCTATAGCCTTATGAAGAGCAATTTCTTCACAATATAATGATAATATATCGTCATTACCAGTACTGGGTTTTCTAGGTAGGTTAGTGGTGCCATAAAAATGTGATCACCAACCACTTCCAACCTGATAATACAAATTATATATCGGTATGATTATTAGCCTTTTAAATGTAGACTAATGATCTTTTCAACAAAATACATAATTTGTACTATCAGGTCGGAAGTGATCGGTGATCACGTTACCGCGACATTTTTATGGCACCTAACCTGCCTGGTTTTCTTGAATTATGAATGATTGCAGATTCAAGTTTATCAAGCTGTGTATTTTTTGGTAGAATTACTTACCTCTTACGAGTTGCTTTTGAGAATTTACACGCGCGACTTGCTCAAAGTTCTTCGTAGACCTACGAACAGTAATTTCTTCTGAATATGTAAAGTCGTCAAGATTGCTATCGATTCTTGCAGAATACTCAAAATCTTCGGAAGTTGTTTGTATGAAATCATCATTATTTGAATTTTGATTATATGGTTTATAAGCAGGAGGCGGGAAGTCTGGAACGTTAAAGTTACTCATTTAGGGATTTGTTTTTATTTCCCCAGAGTTTATGATATGTGTTTATCGGAATAAATGAAAGAAACTACCTAAGATCAACTTCAAAGCGTAATAGCTGAGATTAAACTCGACCAGCCAGAAGATTTTATTAAAAGAAAGAAATTTTTATCTTTGAAATGACTTAAGGTATGGGCAAGTAATAAAAGAACATCTAATTACAGGTTAAGTAGTTAAATAGTTTTTTCGCGAAGAACGACAAAACAAATACTGAATCTGGTAATTGACAAAAATTAATGTATTGCGATTGCGCCAAGATTTTTAATTAATTAAAAATTTAAACAAATTTGCTTATGGTAGGACCCTAGATCAACATGCTTCCGTACATACCTTATTATTTTTTTAAGGAAACTTTGTGAATATAAACAATAAACATTTATACTACATTGAAACCACGAGGCTGAACCGAACATTGGGTTCGATTGTTATGTGATCACGTGTCATTATTGGTCATTGTCGGTAGCAATGTTACCCAAACTATTTTGGGTAACATCGGATATTCGTACGGACCAGATCGAACAGATTCTAAATTTCTATTTTTTAATACAATCGAGTAACTTCTTTTTTGTTAAAATGTTCTAAATCTATGTCCATAGCTGTCCGTAACAATATTGCTAAAATATATATTAATTAACTTTCTCAAGTATGCACTTCCTGACAATGTTATGATTATCTTAATGTAAGTCCGGAGCATGAAGAAGGTAATTTGTGTTAGATAAAGTCAGTGCACATGTTGATATTTTATTTATAGTGCAAATCATGTGATTGGACGGACAGAAAATTCAGAATTACGTTCTTGATATTTTAATATATAACACTTCATAAACGTAACTTTTGTATAACCGTGCATAGAATGTAAGCTTCGTTCCGGACAATCAAATGTTTGCCAAGCTAATTTATGCTGTTTACCCTACCGCCAAGAATTAATGTTTTCTGTACATCTCCGATCAGTGTTTGAAATTCAATTTTTAATTTAGTTGCGGACCTGCAATTAAAAAAACAAAAACCAAAACTACTTGCGAATTATATGAATTTAGTTATGCAGTATACCTATATGCAAATTCGCTAATAAACTTATGCAGTCCGCAAGCTGAGCAACCCAATTTCAGACAATGTCTCCGATACTTTTACTTGCTAGTATCTTTGTATAATAAATAGCGTGACACAATTGATAATGCAAATTTACTTTTACACCTTTTAATGAGATATTATGAACGACACAGACTGGAACAAGTTCAAAGTACCGGAACTAAAAGCAAAATGTAAAGAACTTGGATTACACGTTAGCGGTACAAAAAAAGCGCTAATAGACCGAATTTTATCCTACTACCATGTTGATCCCAATCAAGAGAAAAATGTCGAGAAAGCTTTACAGATCCCTGATAAACGTAAAGCTGGTGATAATATTGAGACTTCTCAAAGGAAAAGTAAAAGGCTCGATGATGGTTCAAGAAGGGGAATAACATCTAATGATAGGTTGACCTTTTTAGATTCTAACATATCTGAAAGTCAAAAACTTGACGATAAAGCTAAATTGGTAACAAATGATTTGCCTGAGATACGACCCTCTGTTTATTCAACGGAAGAGGCGCAAAAAAATTTAATCGCAATACCAGTCACGGTTGAAACATCTTCAGCACAGAATGATGCATCCGGATTTTCAAAATCATATCCCAAGAAGACACTTGTCAATACAAAGTTTAATACAAAAATTAACACAAGGATACCATTACAAAATGCATTCAATACAGACTCAAATCCGAATTTATCAAATGTTGCATCAAAGGTTTCGAGACCACATTCAATCAATACCAATACAAATAAGAATACACTGTCTAACCTTTCACATCGGTCATCAGCCTTTAAAGAAACAGGAAAACCGAAAAGACAAAAAATTCATCACGTAATTCACAAACAAAACAATATAAAAAACTGCATTGCCAAACCCAATAATACGGGTTTAAGTTTAAACCAGACAAAACCCATACTATTTCCATTGATTCAAATTCCTCAAGAAATTTCACATCATGAAATACACAGAATTGAGATATTAACAAGTTGCCTTGAGCAAACTGATTTTCAAACTGTTTTGGCCGCAGAATATGTTTGCCGCTTATGGAAATATGCAGGTAAGGTAATTAACTTTATAAATAAATACGTCTATAAATTATTTTTAAATTTATATATATATATTGTTTTTTTATAAAAGCGTTGTTGGCATGGAGGGGACTTTGCAAACGAAATTTTAACGGCATATTGTTAAATAACGCATTGCGTCAATATTCTAATCCGTATAATTCATTCAAAAATTACTATAAACGACGATTGGAAATCCGTCGTTACAATATCACTTTGATCTCGCGTAGTTGGATTGGCCAACTTTACGAAAATCTTGGGCATTCACCTACAGTTACTATTAACAATAATGTATTCATGTATGGAATTCATCAAAAATTATATTCTAGTAATGATCACACATATCAATTATTTGTGACACTGAGGGTTTGGGTTGCTAGATTTTATTGTTATACTCAATACGGAGGCTATACTGGATTGCTTGAGAATATGCCATGTATTTTAGATACAGATGAAATCATTGATGAAATTTGGAAAATCAGATTGGTGAATGGAGATGAATTGATGGTTCTTTGTGCAACAGGAGAAGTTATTGGACATTGCTTTGATAATATTCATGACAACGACAACACTCAAGAACCATCAAGAATTGGATGGTTAACTTTAAAAAATTGGATCGCAGCAGAATTACGTTATGGTAAAGTTAAAGAGCAATTAAGAGTAGATTGGGCAACTTACATTTGTTCGAAATCTCAGTTTACACCGGATAACAACAAAGAACATCATATCTTACCGTCAACAATTGATAATTCACCTGTCTTTTTAATTAGCAAAGTTATCACTGAAAATGAAAACTACCCAAATTCAATTCATAAATCCATAACTTTTGAAAATAATCCTTTGGAATATATCTATTCGGCAAGGTACGTTCTTTCGTCTGTCGAACCTTTTACAGTCTCGGGAACTTTACAACCCAAACCACATTGGAAAGTTGCTCGTATATTGGCATTTAAACATTCGTTACTAGAATGTGTTGAGTCAATAAGACTGCCAGGAGAAAAGGTTTTTGGAAAGACGTTGAGCGAAAATGTATGCTTTGTTCAAACACCATCTAGAGGAGTGTTCGTGTTAAGAGTAACTGGGCAGATCATAGGAAATGAGGTGATTATTAAATATAGGAATTTTGGTCTCTAATTAAATCTAACAATATATGCGAAACTTTAATTAGGATGATGGAATTAATTTTATGTGGCAGATGATATTAGGGTGTGGATATTATGGCGAGATTATAACTAATACGGAAGATAATATGAAATCTTTTCAAATTACGAGGTTAGAATACTTTAAAGGGTTGAATCGGTCGTTGCAAAGACCGGACCGATCTTTGTAAATTTTTCCCAGTCATCGGCCTTGGACTGGTTCAAATAATAATTTCGACCAAACATGTATGTTTATTTATTTGCTGTTGATAAATAATAAAAAGTACCGATTTAATGTTTTATTTATCCATCTAATAAAACTTATAAAGTATTCCACTAAAAGAAATTAATTTTATAAACATTGCCAACGCCAATTCTCAAATATATATAATACACATAATTATTCCTTTCAATTTATTATAACAATATATACTGTATACGTAGCAGTTCTTCAGGTTGGTGGCGCATAAGCCACAATGATCCGACGTATCACGTGTGAATTTTTAAATCAATACAAATTTACGATCTTTGTCAATATCGATACCATAAAAATAATGATAACGATAATTTTCATATTTTATTTAACGAATTATAAGTTGTTTATCAATTATATATTAAATAATTTCATATTTATTTAACGAATTATAAAAGAAAGCTGTTAAATTTATCAATTATTAAATTAAAAGCGTTAAACTTTTGTATTATTATTAAAAATATATTAAAATAACAAACTATTAAAGTAGAAATTTTTTTAATATAATAAATTAATTTAATTGATTGCTTAAAACGTTTTTGCCCAGATTATGTTCTTTTTTATTATGTTTTCTTTTCTTCTGATTTGGAATTGCTTAAGGATCAAGATTTTTTTACTTTTTTTTGCTTTAGCATATGGTTTTTGTCTAGTATTACCAGAACTTTTAGAATTGCAATGTTTAGTAAATTCAACTTGAACATATTATAGCATCATAAAGAAAGAAGATAGCTGGACAAATAATATTGTTATTAATGTATAATACTGTTTAGTAAATTTGTCCAATACAGCATGAAACTGTGAATCATCATTTTGATAATTTCTTTTAAAAAAGTATTAAGCATAATATTATTAATTTTCTTGTTTATATTAATTTTTTTTCATTTATATTGATTTTCTTTTTTATTTGGTTTAATTTATTTTAAAGAATAATATTATTAAGTTTTATATTTTACTTTAATATTTATAATTTAAAAATAAATATTAAGAATAAAAATGTGATGACTTAGTAAAAATAAATAAGTTATTACTCTTTTAAGTAACAGATTGTAAGTTCAAAACCAATTGAAGATAAAATTTAAAAAATACATTTGTATTATAGCAATAGAATACTGTTAATCAGTTGAAATAAGATATCTGTAATTATGATTACATTAGCATAACTAACAGATTATAGAGTATCTGTATAATCTTAGTTATATAAAAAAATACAAATTAGTACTAGGTGATGCAAATCAAGATAAGTTCTTGTGAATATATAAATATATAAAATAGTAAAAATTAAAGTTTACTTATAAAGAACTAATTAAAGAGATAATATAAAATTTTAATGATATTATTGTAAAAACTAGATCTAAAAAACAAATATTAATATAAAAAATCAAACAAACAAGAATCTTTAGATAAAAGATATTATTAACTATATTGCTAAATTTGAATAAAAAAAAATACTATATATATTAAACTAAGCTTAATATATCAAAGACAGATCATAATTTTTTTAAATTATCTAAATTAAAAATCTAAAGACAAAACAGAAATATATTAAAGTATTAAAGATATACTATGAAGTAAATGTTAAATATAGATAAATTCTATAAGAACAAGTTCTTATTAATAGTTTATAGAATAAATAAATATAGTAGTTAACAATAGAGTTCTCTTAAGCCTTACTAACAAATATTATATTTTAAAATATATAATAATCTGATTACTAGTACAAAAAAAAAAAAAAGTACTGCTTAAATAATATATTAGTTAAGTATATATAGAATTAGAAGTATGATAACCTAGTAAGTAATCAGATTGTTAATCTCCAAATGGCAGATCTAGAATCCAAATATTATAAATAATGAATATTAAAATTTATATTTGTATTATAATAACTGTCTTTGTCAATTAGTTGAATTAGTATATCTGTAATTTTTAATTACATTATCTTAAATAAGAGCTTAGAGCATTTATGTAAAGTATAATGTTATATATACATAAAAAAATGTTAATAATCAGTATTATATAAAATTTTAGTATAAACCCATAATAAGATTACCAAATATAAAAAGCAAAAAAACCAAAAAGTTAGAAACTTATTTGAAAATCCTGAGTAAGAAAATAGTACAAAATTTTTAACAATGCTGTTATACTAATGAAAGCTCATAAAACATTCTTAAAGAGATAAATAGATAAATCAGATAACAAGATGTATAGAAAAGTATATGACTAACCAGGTTGCCAGAATTATTAAAGAAAAAGAATACTAAGATATATCATATCAGGCTACTTGGATTAGAAGTTTGGAAAGTTTTATCAGTCTTAAATAACTATTAGTAAAAGACTATAAAAAAGATATTAGAAAAATATATACTAGAATTTTGAGTAAATTTTACAAGAATATAGCAGTTTAATAATTAGTTCTAACTGCAAATAATAGTTTAGACCAAAGTAATATCAGATTGGTTGTAAATATAAAATACAAAAGGCTTTAGTAGGTGTAGTATAAAGATAAACATAATTTAGTAATTATCCTATATTTTTATCAGTTTATTAAAATTGTTAGTAAGGTGTGATGAATACAAAATCAAAATGTTTAAATAAAAGTTCTACAGATAAGTTCTAGGTTTATCAACTAGTATAGAACCTTCAAGTAAACTACTTAAATTAGACAATAATAAAAGTTATATAAGTAGCTAGTTATATACTCTTTTATAATTGTCTTTGTGTCTGTTACATCAACAGATGCTAGTTAATATATACTATCAATAAAATACTAGATCAATTGTATTTATTTTAAAATTAAAAAAAAAAAAAGGAATTTGTAATAGTAAATAATTAATAAAATAGATAATTTTTTTTTAAATATTAAGGTAAGTACTTGTGACTTAGGATTTTATTAATAGTACATTTAGCTAGTAGTTGCATTGCAACAAAAAACAATTATAAAAAGAGTATACAACTAGTTACTTGTACAACTTTGGTTATTATCTAATTAAATAGTCTGTTCAAAGATTCTATACTAGCTGTCATATCTGAAACCTGATTGTAAGTTCTCTATTTAAATACTCTAGTTTCTGTATCTATTTAATCTACTTATATTACCAAGATGACTTAGTTAATACTAATGCAAATATGCCATAATTACTAAGTCTTTAAGACAATTACTTATATAAGAACCTTTGATCTTGTACTAAATCTTTTAGAACCTTTATATTCTATTCTTATAATTAATCTAGTAATACTATAACTAAGACCAATACTTGTGATTAGAGTATACTATTAAACTGCTATGTTCTTATAAAGTTTATCTCAACTCTAATACTTACTTCACAACATATTGCTACTATTTTGATATTCAAATTAAGTTCTACCAAGCTCTCAGTTCAGATAACCTAAAAAGATAAATAAACTATACCTCTAATTTATATGTATTTTGGCATATAATCTTTTTCTTCAAAATAGATCTTAGCAGTTTGGCTAGTTACAACAGCTCTTTCTTAAAGACCTATTTGTCTTCATCTAGTTTACAGATTTTAGGCTGTTTTATGAACTAGTCTTTACAGTAGTATTATTAAAAATTCAAATTACCTTTCTACTTAGGTCTTTTAAATAAGCTTTTATCTTTCTAGTTTCTGTAGTTTACATAGCTATAAAAACTTATTATAAGTTTATATTGTCTGGTATCAGTTTGTGTTTCTTTATACAAAATGATATAAATGCTATGTAATTTTTCAGTTATGCTAGTATAATAAATATCTGATTCTAATCAATTTTAAAAAACAGTTAATTATAATATAAAAAGAGTTACAAATTTTAGCCAACACTAAGATTAAAATGCTAGATCTGTTACTTGGAGGTTGACAATCTATCTACTTTACTAGATTATCATACCTCTTATTAAAATAGATAATTAGAAGGTTTAAATAGATAATCTTTTAGTAAATCATAAATACAATATCTAGTATAGAACTTTAGAATAAGTTACTTAAATAACTAACTAAAAGTTGCATATATAACTAGTTGTACTTTTATTTCTATATAAATTAGTTATAATAACTAATTCTAAATAAGTTAATAAAATATTATTATAAAGTATAATCTTAAAATATAAAAATTAAAAATTAAAATATGATAATTTAGTAATATAAATAATTTGTTATTCTTTTTAATAGCAGATTAGAAGTTCAAAATCTACTAATATCAAAAATTTGAATAATCATTTATATTATAATAATTATTTTCTATTGATTAATTAGTACAAAATATTTACAGATTATAAAACATTTATATAATTTTAGTAATATAAAAAATGCAAATCAGTATCAGATAATTGTGTCTATATAAATTTGTAAAATTAAAAAAAAAAAACAAAAGCCTATTTAAAAAGACTTAAATAAAAAGATAATATAAAATTTTGATAATATTATTATAAAGACTAAATATAAAAAACAAATAAGAGATATAATGACTTAGTAAAGTAAATAAGTTGTTGGCTTCCAAAAAACAAGTATTAAATTTAAAACCTACTATTATAAAAATTTTAAATTATTATTTATATAATTATAGATATTACAATAACTGTTTTTAATAATTAGTTGAGATTAAATACTTATAATTATGGTTACATTAGTATGACTAACAAGTTATAAGACATCTGTGTAATTTTTGTTATACAGAAAGATGCTAAATAATACCAGATAGTACAAATCTAAAATAAGTTCTTATGGCTGTATAAATCTATAGAATTAAAAAAACAGAAGCCTATTTGAGAAAACCTGAATAGAGAGGTAATACAGATTTTTAATGATATTACTATAAAGACTAAATCTAGAAAATAAATATCAATATGAAAGAATTATACAGATAAGAATCTTTAGATAAAGGTATTACCAATTAGCTTATCAAAATCAGACTGAAAAAAAGGATATTAAACTAGATTTAATATATCAAAAACAGATTATAGTTCTATTAGACTATTTGAATTGAAAGTTTAAAGTCAAAACAGAAGTATACTAAAAGTACTAGAGATATGCTATAAAGTAGGTATTAGAATTTAAATAAACTCTGCAAAAATTAGCTTTATTAATAATCTGTAAAGCAAATAGGTTAGTTAATAAGAAGATATTCAGAATTTTATAGTCAGATAATATGTTTTAAAGTATGTAATGATTTAATAAACATATAAAAAAAAAATCTAAATATTAAATTAGATAGCATTTATATATAATAATTAGGTAATTATTTACTTAAAAAATAATATTTAGATATATAAAAACTAGGTAACTATTTGTCTAAATACAGTATAAAGATTAAAGTATTTAAATAAGTAATTTTTTAAAAGATTATAAGTATAATAGCTAGTGTAAAACCTGTAAGTAAACTATTTAAATAGGTAACTAAAAGTTGCATATATGGCTAGTTGTACACTCACTTTGTACAAGTTATATATCATGTATTAATAAAAATACAAATAAAAATAATAGTTACTATAATATTAATGTTAGCAAAAGTAAAAAAAAAAACAGATATCAATATAAAGAAATCAGATAAACAAAAAACTTTAGATAAGAGGTATCACCAACCAAACTACTAAAAATTAGACCAGAAAAAAAGAATATTAGACTGAACTCAATATACTAAAAACAGTTTATAGTTCTATTAAGCTATCTAAATTAGGAGTCTGAAAATAAGACAAAAATATATTAAAATACTAAAAATATAATGTAAAGTTAGTATTAGGTTTAGATAAACTTTGCAAAAACATAACCTTATTAAAGTCTATAAAGTAAGTAAATTAGTTAACAAAAAGATACTTTAAGCTTTACAGTTAAATAATATGTTCTAAAACAGATAATAGTTTAATAATTATACAAAAATATATTTTTTTATTAATACTCTTCTCTTAGATCCCTCAACCAAAATTTCCAGAAAGCAAAACTTAGAGAAACTCAACAACTAGACTAGAAAACAAGACTTAAGGTACTAACAAAAAAGACAAAACAGCAAAAATTGCATATAGTTTGATAGAAAATATAGAAGAGAAACTTTAAAAACAGTGAAAAACAGCATATAAAGAACTTTTTTAATAAAAGATAAAAAATTGTTTAAAAAATTGAGAAATTGCCAGAACCCTATATCATAGATCTCTCAAGTTATACAAAAAGTCGTAATAGGATAAACAAAGTAAACAAACAAATACATATATCAATTTAGATACAACATGTGACATAGAAGTATATAGAAAATCATTATGCAATATAAACAGAAGTTTGTCAGAAGAATACAAAGGAAGCCTTAATACAATCTTTACAAAAAGAGCATATGAGGCGATGAATAATGTGCATAATAAAATCTTCTTCAATGAAACAAGCAAGACATATACAATATCTAGTAAAGAAGATTATATTGTTGCAGCACTTCCAGAACAAGACCTAAATAAAGTAGCACTTCTGTGAATAACAAAAAAAATACTAGAAAAAGCAGAAAGAGAAAAACCTAAGAAGAAGCTAAATTTTGTAAAACAGTACCAAGATAAAAAAAGTATAGAGAAAAAAAAGAACAACAACAGATAATTGAGATAAAAAAAAAGCAAGAAGAGCCTAAAATAGAGACAAAAAGAAAAAAAGAAGTAAATGAAGATGCCAACAAAAGTCTATAAACAAATATTGAAACTGCAGAAAATAAAATAAATATAAAGGTAAGGCAAACAAATGATAGCTAAGTAAAAGCCAAACTATTTATCTATAGAGAAGAAGATGAAGAACAGAAAAAAGAACAAGAAGACATAGAAATGAATAAAAAAGAATCAAAACAGAGATCAACAACAAAAGAAAAAAAAAAAAAAAACAAGAAATCAAAAAAAAATTGATGTAGTAGAAGTATCACTTGAAGAAAGCATGTGAATATCAAGCAAAAGAGACTGCAATCAAAACAAAAGCCTACTTGCAAACATACTAGTATACTAGGTAAATGCATAGTATTGTGTGTCCGAAGCTTAATATTTAACTAAAAAATAAAATATACTAAATTTAAATTTTTAAAAAATAATATATATAAAAAAAATTTCTAATTTTTATAATTTTATTATTTAAAACTTATTATTTATCTATTATTATTATAAATAGTCTTATTTTATAAACTAATTTTTTTATATAAGATGTAATTAGATAATGTTATAAGTTTGCATCTATAATATTTATATATTTTATAAACAATTAATATTTAAATTTTTTTTTAATTAATTCAATTTAAGTTCTTAAAAATACTAATAAAATTAATTTTATTAAACTAATATTTTACTACTTTAATTTTACTAATAATACAATAAAAATTAAATATTATAAAATAATTTTTATATATTTATATACAAGATTTTTCATTGAATATTTTTAATTTGAAATAAAAAAATAGTTATTTTAATATAATTTTAAATAATTATTAAAAAAAAAAATAAAAAAAATAAAAAAAAAATTTTCTGAACATAAAAGTCCAAAAAGTTATTTAAACTAATAGAGAAAATAATGTCAATAAGAAAAATAGATGCAAATAATGATTAATGGGTTATATAAGAAATACAGGTTTTAAGTAATAAAGAACAGTAAAGAAGTAAATGAGGAATAATAGGTTAATATGTTTAATACCTTAAAGAACACATATGTAATAGAACAATATATAATACAAGAACAGTCAGTTAATGCTTATCATAAATTTGTTCTTAAATAATTGCCTGCTTTCGCTACATTGTAAAATCTATAATCATAAATACACTACTTGACAAATCTAACCACCTCTTATCAACTAAGCCATTCGTAGGTTACATGACATATCCATTTGAAAAGTGACTGACTCGCTATTTCAACTTCATAGGCAGAAGTTTGTCTAATTGGCTAATAAATTCAATTGAATTTTACATTATTTATACAGTTTAGAGTACTTTTTTAAAAAACAAAAACCAACCAAAATTAAGTAAAAAAAAACATATAGAAGGTTTCATTAAAGCTGTAGGACTTCATAGCCAAAAATAAGATCTAATTTTCATCAATTTAAAAAAGTTAATATAGCAATAATGCTCAAAACCTGATAAAATCAACTCATTACAAAGCTAATTTTTTTAAACGAATGAAAATTAGATCTCATTTTTGACTATGGAGTCCTACAACTCTAATGAAACCTTCTATATATTTTTTTTTACTTTATTATGGTTGGTTTTTGTTTTTTTTAAAAAGTACTCTAAACTTATAAATAATGTAAAATTAAATTGAATTTATTAGCCAATCAGACGAACTTCTGTCTATGAACACTATGTCAGTATATATTGGTATCCGGCTAAGTCACGTGTTACGGCTAACTAAAAAGAGTGCCTAGCCAGAAAAGACAACAGCATCAGAAAGGTTCGAAACATAGGAAAAGCTCTTTACGATCAAAGAGGCGAAGTAAGTAAAGTAGTCAGTAAGGGAGAGAACATTGATGTAATCATAATCATTATAGTACATGCAGTCTTGGACAAGGTTAATATACAGTAGAACGTAAAAATGTATATATTAAATTGTTCTTATAAATAAAGGTTAAAAAGGCGATAAGGGAACGAGAGTCTCGAACTTTGCTTTATTAAAAATAATAACTGGCTCCTTACATAATAATAAATACATAAATGTCTCCCTTGCTACATTAACCAATTGCTAAATTCTTGACCATAAAAACCTGATTCTTGTAATTATCTGTTCTTACCCAAAAGATTGTTACATTCCTGTCCAGCTGTTGTATCCTAAAGTACCAGGATCAGCTGTGGTTATATAGTCCTACTATCCTGAAGTACTGAGGATAGTTGAGGTTATACGTGTCATTCAATTACCCGAAGTAGTGAGGTAATTGAGAATAAAGTTAGTAGAAGTATCTGCTAATCATGTTTTTTTCATTTCAAAACAAAACTACGCTTTTAAGTTACTTTGGGATAGGATAATTGTAAATATTAGTAAATAAGGGGGGCAGGTAAAACAAAAACTGGGGCCTATAAGTTTCAAAATCGAAAAACATTTCATTTATATGATATTTCAATAAAAGTTGTGTGAACAATGAATAACCAAAATGTTTATAATGACACTCAAAGAAAACGTGAAAAAAGAAAAAATAAAACACCTGAGCAATGCGAAGTACGCCGACTTTGAGATCGCGAAAGAAAGCGTGAAAAGAAAGCTGCAGAAACAACTGAGGAATGAGAAATGTGTCTCACAAGCATTCGCAATCAGTACCAAAAACGTCAAAAACAAGAAAATGAAAGTGGTGAGAATAATGAGAATAATGGTATAATTGATAGTGGAAATGAAGTGAATGATGATGCGAATGTCGAATAAATGATGCGAATGTTATAATTGATGGTGAGAATGGAGTGAATGATGGTGCGAACGATGGTAGTAACAATGGTGCGAACGATGATGGTAACAATGGTACGAATAATGATAAGAATAATAGTATGAATAATGCGAATGTTATGATTGATGGTATGTATGGAGTGAATGATAGTGCGAATGGTGTTGATGGTGGTATTAATAATGGTAGTGAACAAGTGAGACAAGAAAGTGGATTAAAGATTAATGAGCAAGAAATGCAACATACTAATATTCAGGAAATACAAATTAGTACAACTATACCTGTTGAACTACTTTCTGCTGCTGATATTAGTAAACTCGATCGTGATCTTCTACGAAAATTTCAGACTAAAATGGATAAAGTCAAATACATGCTTTGCCCCATATGTAATGAAAGTTTTCTATCAATAGTTCTTGTTATGGAGGAATGTCGTCGTTGTTACAGTGAAAAGACCCTACCAAAAAAGTTCTCCAAAGAAAATGACATGAACTCTGGTGAAGTACTTGAAGAATTGCAAGGACTTACAGAAATAAAAGAAATGTTAATTGCGCAAGTTTTCTTAGTAATGTCTGTCTATAAACTTCATGGTGGGCAATATGGGTATTGTGGAAACGTAATAAACTTTCCACAAGATGTACATGAATTCACTACACATCTTCTCCGCAGTTCATCATCATTGGATGTGTTAGTTGTACGCTACCAGTCAGCAAGGTCAGAATCCTTTAGGGATTTCCAAGTCCGTCACAAGAAGGTTGCTCGTGCATTAATGTGGTTAAGAGAAAATAATCAGTATTATAATGAAATTACAATTGATGAAAGCGTCCTTCAGTCCTTACCTACAAATAGTTATATTGATGATCAGCTCACAAATAATGAAATAGTCGCTGAAGAATCAGATAATGATGAAGTCAAGGATGATATAATTACTCGTACCTTTGTTCTGTCTCTTTCACCAGTTCGCAGAGAAGATGCTGCCATTAACGAAGCTCTTAACCATATGCAAAATGAGAGCAATCCTTTACTATAGCCAAATATAGAAAATACTCCTATTAACAAATTTAGAACACCTGGTTATATTGCACGTGTGTTCCCAACTCTTTACTCGACAGGAAAGTCCGATCTTCGGTCAGAACGCATTAGAGATATCAATCCAGCAGAATATTTCAAACATCTGCTTCAGTACAAAGATGGAAGATTTGCATGACATACACATTGGAGATATTTTGCATTGAATTCAATAATGCGATGGCGGGCACTGCAAGAAGGAAGAGTGTATGTTAAACAAAAATTTAGTGATGAGCAACTTACAGTTAGAGATATCCAAGACATGATTGCTAAAGGTGATAAATATATTGCTGACCACATTATGCGATATGGTAAAGGTTTGCATGAATCCCGGCAATTTTGGATAGGACGACGTCGTGAATTATCAGATATGATTAAACAAATAGATTCAAGGGGGCTTATTTTTTTTATGTTTAGTGCTGCCAACTTTCATTGGCCAAAGCTTCATAAACTTATTATATCTAACGAAAATTCTGCCCAAGTAACTGAATCTACACAATGGCAAAATATAATCGATAATCTGCATATTGCAGCTTGGTTCTTCTGCAAGCGCTTTGAGATCTTTTTTAATGATGTATTAAAGCGGCAATGGGATTTTGAAGATTGGTAGTATCGATTTGAATGGCAGCACCGTGGTAGTGTTCACTTGCATGGAATCGAAAAATGACGAAATGCGCCTGCAATCAATTGAACACAGATGAAAGGTGACGAACAAGCGATGGATGAAGTGGCACAATATATTGATACTTTAGTTTTCACAATTAATCCTAAACCTAATGCACTTGTTCCAGAACGCCACCCATGTCAAAAAGGTAGTAAAGAACTGAAGGATGATTTTCAAGATTACACAGAATTGGTTAACAAGCTACAATGACACACGCGTTGTAGTCCCTCATACTGCCTTCGCGTTAATCGGTTAGGCCAACAGTCCTGTAGATTTGGATATTCTATGGATACTATTAATCATACTATATTGCATGATGATGAACATGGTAGGCCAGAGGTTATTACAGCAAGAAATGACCCATTAATCAATCCATACAATCGACTTCAACTACAGGGCTGGAGAGCAAACATAGACATTAAACCAATTTTTAGCACCTATGCCACTCTACAATACATTTCAAAGTATGCAAGCAAAGCAGAACCGCAATCAGCAACTTTTTCTGAAATACTAAACCAAATCCTTCAAAAGAGCAACCCCGATACCTTATCACTTTCTTCTATTCAAAAATTACTATTACATAGTGTTGCAGAACATGATGTCTCTGCTCAGGAAACCTGTCATCTTCTTTTAGGTATTCTATTATACCATTCTAGTCAGGTATTTATCTTCTTGAACCTTAACAGAGAAGTGCCATGATGGATTTGTGGCACTGGTAGTAGAGAAAATGGAGAGTATAATGACATGAATCATATAGGTAAGGGTCATGTTATAAAATTTACCAACTTACAATACATATAATTTTAAGTAAGTTTCAATAAATCAAATTTATGTAATTTTATCATATGATTCAATAAATTACAAATTACATGAAAACTGATTTAATGAAACTTACTGCAAAAATTATCAAAATTACATATAATTAAAGTAATTTCGCAACCATAGATATAGGACGTACAGTCCAGTCACCTCTAATGTTATATTGAAAACGTCCTACAAAATTTGAAAATTTCTCTTTATTTCAGCTTAATTTAACTCACAAATTTACTTGGAATAACTGGAATAAATGCAAGCATGAAAATATAGTACGTATCTTTTCACGGCCTTCACTCTTACGTAACAGTCCTCAATGAGAAGAGTTTTGCGCATAAAAGTTGTTCTACATATTCCACATAGAGATATTGAACAACTGACCAACAACTATACTATTGAATGATCAACTTTATATAATCATTATTACGAAGAGATCAATAATGACCCAATTGACTTACTTGGACCTCATGTAGATAAAGTTGAAACTACTGACGATGATGATGATAATCAGAGTGAACAGGCTGATGATGATGAACAGGAAGAATTAAGATTAGATTGGATGTTATTGGCAGAAATGGGTCCAAATGCAGTTATAAATGATTCCTGCGATCTAGGAACTCGTAATATGGACCTTACTCATAGATGGGTTGATGATGCTCAACAACGCTACTCTGATACTGACCTCGCAAATGCCGACACTTTTATACATCAAGCTTCTAGTGGAAGTTATCAAACAAATGAAAATATAAATGTAAATACAGGTTTCATAAATCCTCAAACCCTAAATAATAATCAAATGAAAGTGTTTAAAAGAATTGAATCATATTATTGTAATGTGCTTACAGGCTGTCATGTTGAACCACTAAAAATCATAATATTAGGAACAGCAGGGACGGGTAAATCATACCTTGTTAATGTAATTCGATACACGCTTCATCAAATGACAGAAATTGGAGCTAAATCACCAGTACTTGTGCTTGCTTAGACAGATGCTGCAGCATTTAACATTAATAGTATAACGATCCATTTAGTCCTTTCAATCGCAATAAATGATGGCAATGATAACCTGGATATAAATGGAGAACGAGTAAAACAGCTACAAAAGAGATTAGAAGGCGTAATCTATGTAATTATAGATGAGAAAAGCATAGTAGGACGGCACATGCTTGCTTTAGTTGATATGCGTCTACGCTAGGCTTTTCCCGAACATAGAAATAAACTCTTCGGTGGAAGGTCTGTTATTATGGTTGGCGATTTTGGCCAACTTCCACCAGTACTCGATCTTCCAATATATACCAGTGTTAAAAAATGAGATCTGTTGTCAAATAACGGGCATGCAGCATACAAGCAATTCAATAAGATATACAAACTTGATATAGTTCAACAACAATTTGGAGATTCAGAGGAACAAAAAAGGTTTAGATACATCCTTTTACGACTTCATGATGGTGAATCTACAATAGATGATTGGAAGTTGCTTACTACATGATTTGAAGAAAAGTTATCAAGAGTAGAATGTAAACAGTTTTTAGAAACTACTTATATTCTGCTGAAATGGTCTGATGTGAAAGTCATAAATATTGATAAGCTTCGAGCTTTAAATGTCCTAGTTGCTAAAATTATCGCAACACATAGTGGTGATAGGGATGCTAAAAGAGCTGACTCAGACACTGCACACGGTCTTGAAGCACAACTGTTGTTAGCAAGAGGAGCACACGTCATGCTTACAGCAAACATTTGGACAGAATCTGGACTTGTTAATAGTGTATTAGGAACTGTCCAAGATATTTGTTCAAAGATCATAGACCCTCTTCCTTACCTATATCGGTTTTTATGTCCTTCGATCATTACCAAGGGCCTACAATTACCAGTATAGAGGGTAAAAAAGTTGTTCCAATTACGCCGATTAAACGTACCTGGGAGGGTAAAACAGGTAACGAATGTTCACATACACAGATTCTCCTTCGTCTTGCCTGGTCCATTACAGTTCACAAAAGCCAGGGGCTCACCTTACCTAAAGCATATATCTCTCTTGGAGAGAAAGAATTTAGTGCAGGGCTTTCTTTCGTGGCATTGTCGCATGTCCATTCTTTTGACAATCTTTATTTCAGGTCATTCAATTTTGACAGATTAAGCCACATTAAAGCCTGTAAACATTTGCAAGAGAGAAAAGTTGAGGAAAGACGACTATTTTCCTTCATACCTAGAAATTAGTTAGTAGGGTTAACAAATTAACAATAAAATAAAACCAAACTGTTCGTTTCAATAATAAAGCTTTAACAGGTAACAAATAAAAAAACCGAAAATGGCAATCGTTGATTTGCTGATTACTTGTGCAAATTTTATTAGTGGAATCAAAACGATCACGATTCCACGATTTTTTATTTATTTATTAATTAAACATATAAAAGGAAAGTTGGTAAACATAGCTGTTTTAAAAAAAACAAACACTGGTTTTCACGCAACACGCATGCAGACAGACAAGAATTTTCAAAATTATGTTTTTGATGCATTAATAATTAATTAATCAAAAACGTAACTATTGATGCATCAAAAACATAACTTGTGTATCACCATGTGTAAACATTAAATGTCCTTCACTATGCTCCAGACAATAATGTATCTGGAAAGATTAAAAAAGAATGTATGAACTTTATCAGATGGTCACTAAAAACAATGAGCATGTCAAAAATATTAAAGAAATCTTTAAAAAAGGAAATCTATAAATAGATATAAACTTTGACTGTGAGTATGGCAAAAGCAAGGCAATACAAAGAATTAACAAAAAAAAAGTAATTGGTACAAAATGATCGCAGAAAAAAAAAGTATAAACAAGAAAAGAAAGAAAAAACATATGATAAAAAATATTAGATAGAAAGAAACAATATATCAAAACTTGAAAAGAAGGAATATGAGTGGCAAAAAGACAAAAAAGAACTAATAGAAGATCAAATATATACTAAGGAAGAGAAAATACAGAAATATAAATATATAATAATCTGAAATCTACTGGCAGATATAAACAAAAAAGAGATACAAGACTCTCACAATAGTCCAAGTAGAAGAATTAGAAGAAGACACATCATGGTTTATACTAGTTAATAGTAACAAACTGGTAAGAGTAACAGAAGGTGAAGAAAATTATAAAGCAAAACAAAGGCAAAGTCAGTATATAGCAAAAATGACAGAGCTGCCAAGCAATACTTCAGAAGTATTACTACTACACTGTTTAAGAAGCAAAGATGCAAAATCAGTATACATCCTACCAAACAGAAATGGAAATTAAAGAAGAACAGCAATAATTATGTTTGCAATAAAAAAAGAAATGAAAGCAGCCCAATCAAAACCAACAGATATAACAATTTTCAAGTATTCTGGCTAAATGAAAAAAGAAAAGAAATAAAGAAAAAAAAAGTATTAGAAGAAGAAAAGAAAAAAGCTAAAAAAGAACTAGTTAAAGTCAAAACAGAAGATATACAGAAATAAGAAATGGTTCTCAAATACAAGATACAGAAGAGTGGTTAAGAAACAGAAACACTACTAACAGAAAAAGCTGAAACAAAAAGAATCAGGTTCCAAATAGAAGATGCATTGAAATGAAAAGTAACATCCAGTTACAGAACATAGAAGAATAGTTAGAAGTCAAAAACACGAATGCAAAAAGAAATGATAAAAACATAGTCAAAAAAAAGATAAAACTAAACATGCAAGTACATGTAAAAACAAAACATATGAAGGAAGTCTTAGATCAATCTTGGATAGATTAAATCGACTAAAGGACACTCAGCTAGGTATAAAAGAAGGCCTAGCTAACTGCTCTTGAAGGCATCCAAATTGAACTTATAAATATGGATAAGAAGATCAAAGATTTTCTGTATAGTAAGAAAAGAACTTTTGAAGAAAGAAATAAAGAAAAATTTTCTAATCCAAAAAAAGAAAAAGAAAAGCAAAAAATGCAGAAACAAGATACAAGCAGTTAAAAGAGAAATAGGAAAAGAGATAAAAATTGTATGTCATAACATTAATGAACTCAAGACCAGAAGTTGAAAACTAAAAAACCTGCTAGGCTGGGCAGAGAAAGAATAGATAGCATTTTTAGAAATAACAAAAATGAACATTGTAGAAAAAGAAGTAAAAATCTTTTTGTATAACCTCAATATGAGATTTAAAAATTACTAGGCTAGTGCAGCACAGGTTGAATAAATCTGTACTGGTAAAATATCAGAAAGCTAATATTAAATGAAAGTTATATAATAGTTTAACAATATTATAATGATATTTAAACCTGATAGGTTATCGATATGAAACAGAAATTTGGCAGAAATAGGATACCTTTTAGAATTATATCAGACAATTAAAAGAAATCTATTGGTGTTATTTCATATAAATGAATATTAATATTGGCAAATCAATAACTTAATCAAAAACATGATATTAATTATATAGAAATAATATTGGTAAGTTTCAGGACACTTATTATAAGCATATTGAAATTCCAATATTACTATATTTAACATGATTGTTTTTGTTTGTTATTGCTTCACTGTATTAGATATTACCAAAACATTTTTGATTAAAGCAATAGAACTAAATATACTTATTAAACATTTTATTTAAAAGCAATATTACAATTTAAAAAAAAAGCTATAATACAAAAGTTATATACAATTTTAAACAAATTGATAATGCTAGCAAAAATAAAAATATATTATTTCTAATTTATTGCTTCTTATTCACTATCGGTAATAATGGCAATTTTTTTAGCCTTTTCTTTATTTGTACTATTATTATTTGTGCTGTTATTATTAATATTACTACTTCCACTTGCTGTGGCCTCTTTTTTATGATCTAATTCATCTATTCCTTCATCATCATCATTATTACCTTCATCATCATTATCATCTTCTTCATTTTTGGAATAATATGAAGTATATATGGTCCAAATGAAGATATTGGCTAGAGGCCTAGAATTATTAACCCAGCTAATGTTGCTGTACTATCATTTTCTGGTACATTTAATATGCAAAATATTTTTGCCTACTTGGTCAGCAAGCTGTATAATTTTTTTAACCTAATTTATATAGAATAAAAAAGGTAAAATAATAATTTATAATTAGAATAAGAAAACACTATCAATTTTTATAGGTAATGCATATAGTATATAAATCATAATCAGAATTAGTAGAAATAATATATAATTACTTACCTACCAGAATCTCTATCATTTATCCTTAACATGGATTACATGATTATCCTCTTTACCTTTTTTGAATTTAGGATGAATGTTCTGTTAGTGTTCAGTTAGAGCCTGTTTAATATTAGTTTCTGAAACTTTATCTGAATGAAAATCACTATCATTAATTATATACTCAAAATCATTTTTAAACTCGTCCCAATTCATCGAAGGGAAAAGTTCTGTAAGTTTATTATCATTGGTATTAATTATATAACTAATACCTCAGATACATCTTCTTTTTTTTTATAAAATAAATAGATGATTTGTAATTAATATTGGTAGATTGGTATTTTTATTAAAATAAAAAAAAGATTATAGACCTATTTAGTTACTTATCTAACTAAAATAACATTGCAAGTTATATTAAATTGTATTATATTAGTATTATATTAGTGATGTTACTATTGACATATGATTAATATAATAAAATTTTATATAACTTGCAAAGTTTTTTTTTTTTTTTAAATATTAAGGTAAGTACTTGCGACCCAAGATTTTATTGATAATATATTCAGCTAATAGTTGTATTACAACCACAAGGGGCAACTATAGAAAGAGTGTACAACTAGCCACTCATACAACTTTAGTCATAGTCTAATTTAAGTAGTTTGCCTGAAGGTTCTACACTAGCTGCCATACCTGAAACCTACTTGTAAGTTCCCTATTTAACTACTCTGTTCCTGTATCCATCCATCTACCTACATCTACCAAGATGCCCCGGTTAATACTGGTGCAAATATGCCATAGTCACTAAGTCTTTAAGACAGTTCACTTATATGAGGAAGCTTTGACCTTGTACTAAATCTTCCAGAATCTTCTGTATCCCATTCTTATAGCTGACTTAGTATCGCTATGGCTGAGACCAATACTGGTGATCAGGGCATACCATTTAACCACTATGCTCTTGTAAAGTTCACTCCAACCCTGGTACTGACTTCACAACATATCCCTACTACTTTGGTATTCAATTCAAGTTCTAACAAGCTTCCAAACCAGATAGCTCAAAAAGGCAGGTCGTAATCATACACCTCTGATTTACATGTTTGCCAGCATGTAACTTTTTTCTCCAGAACCCAGAAATTCTAGCAGCCTGGTTGGTTCCATTCAGCCTCTTCTCAAAGGCTGGCTCTTTGCCTAGTTTCACAAGTTCTAGCTCCATTTCATAGGTCTAGTCTTTATAGTAGCACTGTCAAAAGTTCAGGTTACCTCTCTACTCAGGTCTTCCAAGTGGGCTTCCATCTTTCTATCTGGTTCTTGTGATTTACACAGCCTAAGGACTTATTTTGAGTTCACACTGCCTAGTACCAGTTTGTGTTTCTTCATACAACATTGCACAAATGCCTAGACCTTCCAGTCAGGCTGGTATAACATGGGTTACAAGTATCCTATCCCAACTAATCATAGAAGACAGTTAGCTGAAATACAGAAAGAATTGCAAATTTTCACTATCACTGGGATTTGAACTCTAGACCTGCCACTTGGGGGTTAACAACCTATCCACTTCACTAGGTTGCCACACTCCTAAATTTCTTCTTCATTTAAACTAACAAATATATAAACAAATATGAATTGCATATTGTGTTTCATGATTAGCACAATCTTCAATTATATTTTTTATAAACTTAATCATAATTTTCTTT